CTATCACTAGCCTGCTATGCTATACTATACTATCACTAACCTGCTATACTATACTATCACTAGCCTGCTATACTATACTATCACTAGCCTGCTATACTATACTATACTATACTATCACTAGCCTGCTATACTATACTATCTACACTAGCCTGCTATACTATACTATCTATCACTAGCCTGCTATACTATACTATCACTAGCCTGCTATACTATACTATCACTAGCCTGCTATACTATACTATCACTAGCCTGCTATACTATACTATCACTAGCCTGCTATACTATACTATTACTAGTCTGCTATACTATACTATCACTAGCCTGCTATACTATACTATCACTAGCCTGCTATACTATACTATCACTAGCCTGCTATACTATACTATCACTAGTCTGCTATACTATACTATCACTAGCCTGCTATACTATACTATCACTAGCCTGCTATACTATACTATCACTAGCCTGCTATACTATACTATCACTAGCCTGCTATACTATACTATCACTAGCCTGCTATACTATACTATACTATCACTAGCCTGCTATACTATACTATACTATCACTAGCCTGCTATACTATACTATCACTAGCCTGCTATACTATACTATCACTAGCCTGCTATACTATACTATCACTAGCCTGCTATACTATACTATACTATCACTAGCCTGCTATACTATACTATCACTAGCCTGCTATACTATACTATCACTAGCCTGCTATACTATACTATACTATCACTAGCCTGCTATACTATACTATACTATCACTAGCCTGCTATACTATACTATCACTAGCCTGCTATACTATACTATACTATCACTAGCCTGCTATACTATACTATCACTAGCCTGCTATACTATACTATCACTAGCCTGCTATACTATACTAGCCTGCTATACTATACTATCACTAGCCTGCTATACTATACTATCACTAGCCTGCTATACTATACTATCACTAGCCTGCTATACTATACTATCACTAGCCTGCTATACTATACTATCACTAGCCTGCTATACTATACTATCACTAGCCTGCTATACTATACTATACTATCACTAGCCTGCTATACTATACTATCACTAGCCTGCTATACTATACTATCACTAGCCTGCTATACTATACTATCACTAGCCTGCTATACTATACTATCACTAGCCTGCTATACTATACTATCACTAGCCTGCTATACTATACTATCACTAGCCTGCTATACTATACTATCACTAGCCTGCTATACTATACTATACTATCACTAGCCTGCTATACTATACTATCACTAGCCTGCTATACTATACTATCACTAGCCTGCTATACTATACTATACTATCACTAGCCTGCTATACTATACTATACTATCACTAGCCTGCTATACTATACTATCACTAGCCTGCTATACTATACTATCACTAGCCTGCTATACTATACTATCACTAGCCTGCTATACTATACTATACTATCACTAGCCTGCTATACTATACTATACTATCACTAGCCTGCTATACTATACTATACTATCACTAGCCTGCTATACTATACTATACTATCACTAGCCTGCTATACTATACTATACTATCACTAGCCTGCTATACTATACTATACTATCACTAGCCTGCTATACTATACTATACTATCACTAGCCTGCTATACTATACTATCACTAGCCTGCTATACTATACTATCACTATCCTAGCTATACTATACTATACTATCACTAGCCTGCTATACTATACTATACTATCACTAGCCTGCTATACTATACTATACTATCACTAGCCTGCTATACTATACTATACTACTAGCCTGCTATACTATACTATACTATCACTAGCCTGCTATACTATACTATACTATCACTAGCCTGCTATACTATACTATACTATCACTAGCCTGCTATACTATACTATACTATCACTAGCCTGCTATACTATACTATACTATCACTAGCCTGCTATACTATACTATACTATACTATCCTAGCTATGCTATACTATACTATCACTAGCCTGCTATACTATACTATACTATCACTAGCCTGCTATACTATACTATACTATCACTAGCCTGCTATACTATACTATACTATCACTAGCCTGCTATACTATACTATACTATCACTAGCTATACTATACTATCACTAGCCTGCTATACTATACTATCACTAGCCTGCTGCTATACTATACTATCACTAGCCTGCTATACTATACTATACTACTAGCCTGCTATACTATACTATAGCCTGCTATACTATACTATACTATCACTAGCCTGCTATACTATACTATACTATCACTAGCCTGCTATACTATACTATACTATCACTAGCCTGCTATACTATACTATACTATCACTAGCCTGCTATACTATACTATACTATCACTAGCCTGCTATACTATACTATACTATCTAGCTATACTATACTATACTACTAGCCTGCTATACTATACTATACATCACTAGCCTGCTATACTATACTATACTATCACTAGCCTGCTATACTATACTATACTATCACTAGCCTGCTATACTATACTATACTATCACTAGCCTGCTATACTATACTATCACTAGCCTGCTATACTATACTATACTATCACTAGCCTGCTATACTATACTATCACTAGCCTGCTATACTATACTATACTATCACTAGCCTGCTATACTATACTATACTATCACTAGCCTGCTATACTATACTATACTAGCCTGCTATACTAGCCTGCTATACTATACTATACTATCACTAGCCTGCTATACTATACTATACTATCACTAGCCTGCTATACTATACTATACTACTAGCCTGCTATACTATACTATACTATGCTATACTGCTATACTATACTATCACTAGCCTGCTATACTATACTATACTATCACTAGCCTGCTATACTATACTATACTATCACTAGCCTGCTATACTATACTATACTATCACTAGCCTGCTATACTATACTATCACTAGCCTGCTATACTATACTATACTATCACTAGCCTGCTATACTATACTATCACTAGCCTGCTATACTATACTATACTATCACTAGCCTGCTATACTATACTATACTATCACTAGCCTGCTATACTATACTATACTATCACTAGCCTGCTATACTATACTATACTATCACTAGCCTGCTATACTATACTATACTAGCCTGCTATACTAGCCTATCACTAGCCTGCTATACTATACTATCACTAGCCTGCTATACTATACTATACTATCACTAGCCTGCTATACTATACTATACTATCACTAGCCTGCTATACTATACTATACTATCACTAGCCTGCTATACTATACTATACTATCACTAGCCTGCTATACTATACTATACTATCACTAGCCTGCTATACTATACTATGCTATACTATACTATCTAGCCTATACTATACTATACTACTATGCTATACTATACTAGCCTGCTATACTATACTATACTATCACTAGCCTGCTATACTATACTATACTATCACTAGCCTGCTATACTATACTATACTATCACTAGCCTGCTATACTATACTATACTATCACTAGCCTGCTATACTATACTATACTATCACTAGCCTGCTATACTATACTATACTATCACTAGCCTGCTATACTATACTATACTATCACTAGCCTGCTATACTATACTATACTATCACTAGCCTGCTATACTATACTATACTATCACTAGCCTGCTATACTATACTATACTATCACTAGCCTGCTATACTATACTATACTATCACTAGCCTGCTATACTATACTATCACTAGCCTGCTATACTATACTATCACTAGCCTGCTATACTATACTATACTATCACTAGCCTGCTATACTATACTATACTATCACTAGCCTGCTATACTATACTATCACTAGCACTAGCTATACTATACTATACTATCACTAGCCTGCTATACTATACTATACTATCACTAGCCTGCTATACTATACTATACTATCACTAGCCTGCTATACTATACTATACTATCACTAGCCTGCTATACTATACTATACTATCACTAGCCTGCTATACTATACTATACTATCACTAGCCTGCTATACTATACTATACTATCACTAGCCTGCTATACTATACTATACTATCACTAGCCTGCTATACTATACTATCACTAGCCTGCTATACTATACTATACTATCACTAGCCTGCTATACTATACTATACTATACTATCACTAGCCTGCTATACTATACTATCACTAGCCTGCTATACTATATTATCACTAGCCTGCTATACTATACTATCACTAGCCTGCTATACTATACTATACTATCACTAGCCTGCTATACTATACTATCACTAGCCTGCTATACTATACTATACTATCACTAGCCTGCTATACTATACTATCACTAGCCTGCTATACTATACTATACTATCACTAGCCTGCTATACTATACTATACTATTACTAGCCTGCTATACAACCTTGCGTGCCAAACTCGGTAAGTTCAAGCCTTTATTATTCTTACTCTCTTTACATTTCCCAGATTTACTATTCAGTGATACCCTCACAGTTCTCACCTTCCACCACAACATTATCTCAAACATTCTGGCAAGTTCTTCACACCCCATTATTCATTTTTTTTCATCTGCATTTAATCATTTTTAAATTTGTCCTTCTCAATACCTGCAGCAGTTGCATGTTTTTGCTTCTTCACAGATGTGCTTACTACCTACCTCCTTCACAGAAACATCTGCTGGTATTCTACTGTGATATTTCTAAATATCTTTTATCATTTTTCTTCTTGATGGATTCATTATTATGGTGATTCATAATTCCCTTCTGATGCCCTTGATTTGTGTTACTTCAGATATCATGGCGGGAATATGATATCTGAAGTAACATAATATGATATCTGCTGCTCTTGCTCCTTTCTTTCTATAAGAGCTTCCCTTCAGAATCCATTAATAAAATATTATAATGTTAATTTAAGTATAAAAATTCATTTAATAACTTTAAACTACAGTACTTACTCTATTACAAAGCTCCTCAAATGTGCTATCCAATACACCACCACAAGTCTTCTGAAATGTCACACTTCTACCACCATAAGTGAGGATGCGTGGTCGGACAATATCTGTCTCCTCTGCACTGAAGAGCTGGAAAAAATTATTATACTGTATATATATGTGTATATATGTATATATGTGTGTGTGTGTGTGTGTGTGTATGTATATATAACATTGTATTCGCCAACTTTGCCAGACAGTATGGTTTTCGATCTGGAAGATCCTGTGTATCGAATTTATTCAGTTTCTATGATGGTTGGGTTGACTGCATCTATCTGGACCTAAAAAAGGCTTTCGACAGAGTTCCACATAAGAGGTTGTTCTGGAAACTGGAAAATATTGGAGGGGTAACAGGTAAGCTTCTAACATGGATGAAAAATTTTCTGACTGATAGAAAAATGAGGGCAGTAATCAGAGGCAATGTATCGGACTAGAGAAATGTCACAAGTGAAGTACCACAGGGTTCAGTTCTTGCACCAGTGATGTTTATTGTCTACATAAATGATCTACCAGTTGGTATACAGAATTATATGAACATGTTTGCTGATGATGCTAAGATAATAGGAAGGATAAGAAACTTAGATGATTGTCATGCCCTTCAAGATGACCTGGACAAAATAAGTATATGGAGCACCACTTGGCAAATGGAATTTAATGTTAATAAATGCCATGTTATGGAATGTGGAATAGGAGAACATAGACCCCACACAACCTATATATTATGTGAGAAATCTTTAAAGAATTCTGATAAAGAAAGAGATCTAGGGGTGGTTCTAGATAGAAAACTATCACCTGAGGACCACATAAAGAATATTGTGCGAGGAGCCTATGCTACACTTTCTAACTTCAGAATTGCTTTTAAATACGTGGATGGCGATATACTAAAGATATTGTTCACGACTTTTGTTAGGCCAAAGCTAGAATATGCAGTGGTGGTGTGGTGCCCATATCTTAAGAAGCACATCAACAAACTGGAAAAAGTGCAAAGACATGCTACTAAGTGGCTCCCAGAACTGAAAGGCAAGAGCTACGAGGAGAGGTTAGAGGCATTAAATATGCCAAAACTAGAAGACAGAAGAAAAAGAGGTGATATGATCACTACATACAAAATAGTAACAGGAATTGATAAAATTGATATGGGAGAATTCCTGAGACCTGGAACTTTAAGAACAAGAGGTCATAGATTTAAACTAGCTAAACACAGATGCCGAAGAAATATAAGAAAATTGACTTTCGCAAACAGAGTGGTAGACGGTTGGAACAAGTTAGGTGTGAAGGTGGTGGAGGCCAAGACCGTCAGTAGTTTCAAAGTGTTATATGACAAAGAGAGCTGGGAAGACAGGACACCACGAGCGTAGCTCTCATCCTGTAACTACACGTAGGTAATTATACTTAGGTAATTACACACACACAAATCATCGATAGATACAGCGATAGCAGGCGGCTTGACATCTGCGAGGCACTACACATCAAGAAGTCAACACCAGCAATCAACAGCCAATCAATGCACAACTATATTCTACCCACTTCAAGACTCCGCACCAATATAGAAGCATCAAAAAATATGGGCCAATAGGCCCTTTGCAGTTACTTCCATCCTTCCCTTTAATTTACCCAATTTATACCCATTGTTTCCTGTTCTATCTTGTGTTGAAAGTTTTGTTCACCTCATCCAAAACTGTTGTAACATATCACCTCACCCAAATGCGGGTATATAAGATGAAAGCTGTTTAAATGATAGCATACAACTCTGTTTAGTGTTTACAGGTTATAGTTGTGTGTGTGTAAACTAAAGTCTTTGAAAATGTAATAAGTTATTACGAAACGCGTTCAAGTGTCGCGTCAGACTAAAAATAAAAATTAATTTTGGAGAATTGATTTTTCAATTACCGTCGACAGTGAAAAGAAGCATAAGAAATATTGAGAAAATTCGTGTTAGAATTATTAATCTTACTTTTTCGGTCATATTTAATAATATATATTTACAAGAAAGACTGCTACCAAAATATACTAATATATATATATACTGTATATACATATATATAATTTATTAATCTTGTTATTTATTTATATATAATGTATCAGCTCGCTAATCCGGACTACAGTGGCACCTCGATTAACGAGTTTAATCCATTCTGGCACCGTGCTAGTTATGTGGAAAACTCGTCTTAAGAAACACATTTCCCCATTTAAAATAAAGGAAATAAATTTAATCCGTTCCACTCCCAAAAACATCCATACTTGTATGACATTTTTTAATGTAAATATAATACTGCACATGTAATTATAAATGTTTTGTTGTACTGTTTTCATTTTTACTTTACCTTATGAAGAGTTGTTGCTGACTTGAGGGAGAAAGGAGGAGGAGAGGGGTTATGGTGTGGAAGGAGAATCCACCTCTGAGTCAGGTGGGCTCTCTCTTCTTGGGAATTTCACCCCACTGGGACCGGGTTGTGGTTCACTATCACTGGCTCTTCTTTTCTCTACTTTTGCAAAGAATGTATCTATTGACAATTGCTTTTGTCTTTGTTTTAGGATGTCCCTAAAATGAGACAGCAAATTGTCATTAAACATGTTCACACATCAGGGTGATGTTTTTCCATGACTGCGGTCACCTTTTCAAACATTCCCAACACTTCCCTGATCTCACTTGAAGAGGCAGAAGCATCCTCCCCTACCTCCTCCTCCTCCCCTGATGAGAGCTCTTGTGCCTCCTCTTGATTAAGCTCCTTCTGAAGTTCCACGAGTTCCTCAGTGGTCAGTTCCTCACTGTGCTCCTCCACTAACTCCTGCACATCAGCAGCATCCAACTCTAGACCCAAAGTTTGCCCCAGAGCAACAATATCATCTACTAGATGCACTTCCGGGTCTTCCACAGGTGCAGATGCAGTTGCAAGTGCAGGACCGAAACCTTCGAAGGCTCGCTCAGGGACACCCTCAGGCCACAGGTTACACCATGCAGAGTTTAGGGACCTCCGTGTCACTCCTTCCCAGGCCTTATCGATCAAACGTAAGGCACCCAGGATATTGAAGTGGTTCTTCCAGAATTCTTTGAGGGTCAGCTCTGTATTGTCTATCACATCAACACACCTCTCCAACAAGGCCTTCATGTAGAGTTTCTTAAAGTTTGCAATGACTTTGTGGTCCATAGGTTGGAGGAGTGGAGTGGTATTGAGAGGAAGGAACTGGATGGTGATGACCCAGAGAAAAGCGCAAATAAATCCAGAGGGATGCTTGTCGTGTGCGATACAACAACAACACTGGCGTCGGAGGCATTCGAGAATTTGCGAGAACCCGCGAGATGCTAGGAAGCACCATGTGGTTTTGCTCGTTAATAGAGGTGAAGCTCGTCAATAGAGACAAATTTGCTGAGAGTGGCTAGCTCGTTACTTGAAATGCTCGTAAATAGAGCCGCTCATTAATCGAGGTGCCACTGTGTATGGAAAGGACCCCCAGCCGGATTATCACTTTTTCCGGATTAACGTACGTTTTCACTGCGGAAGTCCAAAAGTAACCATTTCAAACTATTTTTATACCACAAACAACATAAATTGAATTGCCTTTCCACATATAATTATAAAATATTCAACTAGAAACCTCAATTTACCTTGTTGTAGTTCATCATCTTGATTGATGCCACACATCTTGAAATTAAGAATTCTTGACAATTTATATAACCTATTCTAACACAACACTAAAATTAACACTTAAAATTACTGTACAGTTCATGAGGCAAATTTAGTTTTGACTGCCAGCTGCTGAAGCCACACTGGTTGAAGGCGCTTGACTTGCTTGTGACGCAAGTCACAAATGGTTGAACCTAATGCTCAACTCATGCTCTACAAACATCATTGTGTGGTAACTACAGACATGTTTATTCAGTTGTGTATATATTTTTTCACATGATGATGTAATTTATTCTTATGGTATTCGTAACGTTGTTCTTCCAGTTGCCCTTCTATGAATATATCCCTTTAGGGCATTCTATAGCAGACAATTTGATACCAAAATGAACTACGTAACACAAAAATTGAGGTAAGAAAACTGAAAAAGAGTATATACATTTTAGTTGGGGTGTTACGGGTATGCAGGTGGGTGTTCCCTCACAGGCAACGCTGGCCCGATTTTTGGGTTTGCTGTGGATAGTGCGCTGGGCTTTTGAATCCTATATGCATATATCCCTTTCGAGAATTCTATTATGAACAATTTGATATCAAAATGAGCGACATAGCACGAAAATTGAGGTGAGAATACTGAAAAGAGTACACACATTTTAGTGCATATGTTGTGGGTGTGCCGATGGGTGCGCACTCACGGGTAATGCACGGCGTATTTTCTGGTTTGCTGTTTGTAACATGCAGGGGGTTTTAGACTTTATATGCATATATCCTTTTAGAGAACTCTATTGCGTACAATTTCATACCAAAATGAAAGACGTAGCACGAAAATTGAGGTGAGAAACCTAAAGACAGAATACACATTTTAATGCAATTGTGTGCTCACGGGTAACACTTGGCTGAATTTTGGTTTGCTGCGGGCGGCACACCGGGCATTTTGACTTTTATATGTATATATCTCTTTAGAGAATTCTATTGCGAACCATTTCATACCAAAAGGAAAGACTTAGCACAAAAATTGGGGTGAGAAACCTAAAGAGAGTACACATTTTAGTGCAGTTCCGTGCTCGTGTGAAATGCTCGACAGACCATGGGATGGGCTGGGGCGCTAGGCCAGGCAAAGTATTCATCCTAATATTTTCCAGAATACGACCCACCAAATCATTTAACAACCAGGTACCCATTTTACTGTTGGGTAAACAGAGGCTACAGTTAAGGATTGGCGCCCAATAAATCCACCCCCGGCCAGAATACAAACCTAGGCCAAAGCGTTCGCGAAATGCCAGGCAAGTGTCTTATCACTACGGCATGGGATGGGGGGGGGTTACTGCTATTTATATAAATATAAATTAATATATATATCGTATATGCTGACGTATATGTCGACATTTGAAGCCTAAAAAAACAGTGTTGAATGCAATGAATTGAATGCAGTGTTGAATCCATTTTCTGGGTGAGACCCGGAGGCTCCCT